TAGGCAACACTTGCTCCATAGGATATACATTTATTCACTAAAGTTCATCATACCTTAGTTGCCGGTTGGTAGGTGGAACCATCCATTGATGCTGCAGAGGGCGCAGATGTCTTCACATGCAAGGAATGTGGCTAATGGAGTTCTAATTGCATACCGTCGGAACAGAAATCTGCCGTTAAACTGTTTATTAAATGAGTTACAACCTGAAAGTTGATTAATTGCATATTTTTATTCATTGATTCAAAGAGTCGTTCATAAAGGTCGGTTTGATGAAAATTTGAAACTTTGTTTTACCATTGGAGATTGAGTAACTCTTTTACTCAGGTTCTGTAGTTTTGTATTTGTTAAGATTGATAAAGGAATATCAATGTTGTTTGGCTTTTCATCAATGGAATGGCATAACATGCCGTACATGGCTGATTTGATTCCTAATCTGGTGGGGGATCATTTTGGGTTATGCAATATCTTAGGGATTAGGAGTTAGCGTACAATTGTTTTGCTCTTAAGCTTCGAACGTTCTTCATTTAAAAAAGATTAGATGTGGGTCATTCCAGCTCAAGCAGGTACATAATTTTTAAAAGTTGTGGTCTATGTCACTGATTTGAACCAAACTTGGCCATAATGCTTATTTTGGTATTCTGAACAAATGCCTTTTTTGATTTTGCTCTGAAGTTCTAAGATTCTTTTGGGCTATAACCATGGATTTCCGAGATTTTTAAAAATTTTAACATTTAGAAGAAATTACTCCACAATCAAATAAGCTATTCGTGATCTTAGAACGTCAATTTTAAGGATTTTTAATGTAGATTTTTAAAGGTGTACTTAAATTTTGTTTTTGTTATAGTTGCTACAGTAAACAGGCTGATTACCGACAGGTATCCAAATTGTCAAAAATGGCCTATTTTCACCATGGGCGGGATTTTTAATTTTTTTTATATTTTGAGCTCAAATTTTCACCACACTTTGGAAAACTCTTATACTTGATGTGTTTCCAAGGTCAAATGATTTGGACAAACAGTTTTTGAGATATGACCAGATGAGTGAGTAGTAGTTTTGAGCTTTTCTGGTGGAAAATCAATGCTATTTAATATTATTAATTTTTCCTGAGTTCCTTCACACCGATGGCCCAACAATATTTTTATGTTAGTTTTGACATGTTCTGTTCAGGATTCTCATTATATGATATCATAACTAGCTCATTTATTTTCTTGAAAAATACGTTCCTATGGGATACAGCCAAAACATTGTTCTTTAGAATTACGATGAAATCAGATGATTAGCAGGTATAATATTTCAGCTATGGATGACAGCTGATACTTGAATAATAGCCTTATTTGAGTAATTATTATTTTTTAGATACAATCTCATGAGCAAGTATCCCATAGAAACGTATTTTTCACTTTTAGGACCACCATTATATTATGGACCTAAGTAAATAAATTAGCTAGTTATGATTTCATATAATGAGTATCTTTCCCATAACATGTCAAAAATAACATAAAAATATTATTGTGCCATCCGTATGAAGGAATTCAAGAAAAAATAAAAATATTAAATAGCATTGATTTTCCACCAGAAAGGCTCAAAACTACCACTCGCTCATCTGGTCATACCTAAAAAACTATTTGTTCAAATCATTTGCCCTTGGACACATATCAAGTAAAAGAGTTTTCCAAAGTGTAGTGAAAATTTGAGCTCAAAATATAAAGAAATTAAAAATTCATCCCATGGTGAAAAAATGCATTTTTTGTTCCATGTTCACCTGCTGGTAATCTGCAGTTACTATAACAAAAACACAATTTAAGTACATCTACAAAAATCTACATTAAAACCCTTCAAATTGACGTTCAAAGATCATGAATAGCTTAATTGGTTGTGGAGTAATCTCTTCTAAATGTTAAAATTTTTAAAAACCTAGAAAATCCATGTTTGTAGCTCAGAAGGACCTAGGCACTTAGCGTTAGCGTTAGTGTTAGCGTTGTTATGATATACTTCGTAGATTGGATACTAGCGACACTCACGTCTCTTCTGAAATTCTCAGTTAGACTACTTTCAGGAATAATGCTGAGGAGTAAACATTGGTTCCAATCTAAACAAGATTAACAGAAGCATGACTGTCGCTATTCCCGGCCACGCCCATCTTTACCATAACTAGGGATAGGGAAGGAAATGTTGATGTAGTACTTACTTAACGAGAGGCCACCGACTTAGCGACACCCTCATAAGTGCTACGGAGTTGGAGGGTTGGGTAGGGTATTCGGTTAGGATTCACCTCAAGTTGGCGATGCAACCAAAAGTATGTATTGTTTATTTGTTGTTTATTTAATCTCTCGATAGCCGGCTATCGAAAGAACATATTAATTTTGTTTAGTGATAATGAATTTTAAGAGTCATGATGGAGAGCTTGGGATTAAACCCATGATTTTCTGCTCAGTAAACAAAAACGATCCCTCCAGGGTCATCGAGCATCTCAGAACCATAACGCTTCGCGACAATACAGGACTACGTTTTCGCTTGATATGCAAATAGTTTCCGAGGTTAATGTTCAATATCAAATATACAAATGATGGTGCCGATTTATTGTGCTGTGGAAGAGCTTGGGGTTAAATCCATGATTTTCTGCTCAGTAAGCAAAATCGATCCCTCGAGGGTCATCGAGCATCTTATAATCCACAGCGCTTTGAATAACTATTATTTACGATAATTACATGAAATAAATAAAATATAAACTACAAACAGAACGTGACTGCTAAAATCTCAAAAAGATATTCTCACAAATATATTTCACGCCACCAGGAATCTCAAAACCATTAGACGTTATAATGATACTCTGTACATATTAGACACAAGAAGAGGCCAAAAAGCAAGCGTCCGACACACAAAACCCGTCAAATCCACTTGCAGTCACAATCAACGATTCTACGAATCGCGTGCGCTCACGAATCGTAAAACCGCTGACTGCAACACTCTGAAAGCGAAATTGACAGGCTCTATGTGTCAAACACCCGCCCTCCAATCTCCACCCGCATCCAACAGCACAAATCTCCATTACAACATCTAACGAATTCAAAACTCCGAAAATCACTCATCTATAGCAAGTGAGTGGAAGCAACCCTGCATGCAACCATTCTTAATGATACACTTGTTCTGTCTATCTTTCTATTAGGCCTGTGGACATGCGTTAGCTTCGAAACTTCTAACCAAACTGGGTAAATTTTCAGATCACAAAAAAAAAAACTTGAAAAAAAAACTTTCAAAGGTAATTACAAGTAAGATAAATATTGATTATTTTACGCGAAAACGAGCAAGTAATATTAAGTCTCTTGTATCATATGCTAATGCAAATTGACTGTAACAAAAATAATATGCTTAAACAAAATAAAATATTTATAAAATTATATGCAAAATTTACAAGAAGATCATTACTTTATTGGTGAGAAGTTTTTAATAAGCCCTCCCAGTTCCTCTGTATACAGAACAAATCTGATACTATAATCAGAATTGCTCAGTCTGCATAATGCAGCCGATTGCATCAAGGAAGTTCTATTAACAACCAAGAATTAATCGTTTGAGGTATACTGAAGCATTAAGAAGATGATATGTGTCACTATAGGAAATCATCATCTTTGCAAATATAAAGAAATTAAACATAACCCTTTGCTTCAGTACCGTCAACCTCCATGTCCATGGGGAGGGACAGAAGGACCTAGGCACTTCAGAGCAAAATCAAAAAAAAAAAAAGGCGTTTGTTCAGAATGCCAAAATAAGCGTGTTGGCCAAGTTCAAATCGGTGACATCGATCACAGGTGGTTTACCCAGTTGAATGACCCATATGGGAAATGATTTTAAAGGTAGATACAGGTTCTAGATGAAACGTCATGAATACGGATGTTCTGAATAGAATGACTCAAAATATTGTAATGGTGCATGTGGGTAGCAAAATTCTCGAACTTGTAAAACATTATCATTGAGTGATAGAGTAACCCGAAGAATGTGACACAAAACCTATCATGTCACAAATCTTATGATCCATCGCAGTAAGATTACTGATCATATTGTGGGCCCAGACCCATATTGGTCTCATCAAGAATTATTCTGGACTCTCTAAACATGCCTCCCGATTGTTGGGAGAAAATCAAATTCTATAGATGTCATTAGAAATCAGGAGGGCTAATGAAACTGTCACATTTGAAAAAATTTTTTAGCTTGAAGCCTCTGTAGCAGCATAGAGCCATGTTAACATTTATCTGTCTGATGAAAAATGATTGATGCAAAAACATCACTCACAGCTAGTCAATGAGGAGCGAGTTTGCGAAAAACTCCACATTTTGACCATACACCTACCAGCATAATTATTAGGGAGCAGGGTCTAAAAAGCACTCTAGAGTAAATTCACCTCCTCGATTTTCTTAAATTATAAGTATACCACCTTGCCAGCTGTTCGCAGATCTTTACATGCACAGTATTCATATAATTTGGATTTGCATTAATAACGCCTTTAGCTTAATGCGTTTGGCCTCACCTATCCCCAAATGGTCATCAGCTGGGCTTGCTTGCGGGAGGAATTGGCTACCCTTCAAGCCGGTCGGCCGGCAGCAGTAGCGGGGAAACTTGTTTATGATTTCACGCGGCAGCGCACGCGTGTGAATGAAGGAAAACGAATAAATTCTTATTTTTTTTCTTCTTTCGGATGGACACTGCCGACCGATGCCATGGAGGTTCGGAACTTTGTCGGTTGACTTTTTTGGTGGGTGAAAACCCGCTGGGGATATGTGGGGGACCATGAAACACAGCGCACCAGTAACACCGTTTGGAGATTTTTTTTTTTCGGTGTATGCGAAGAACCCAGCGGAGTTTGGTTGGGTGTTTGTGTGCGCCGAGGGGGCTTGCATTACTTTGGAAGAACGTCGGTCGCCGTTGCAGATTTATTGATCGCATCTTCAATAAAGAGTCAAGTATTCGTTTGCGGCGGGATAAATTCATGCATGGGGGGTGTGCGCGCATTTTTTTTTAAGGTTATTGTGATTAGTGAACCGCACTCATATTGTTGTTACACTAGTTTTTCGTCAGGCAGTTTGGGGCCTACACGGCTTGCCGGCATACTTGCGGTATAAATAAAAGTGCTGATGGGAGAACCGTTGATAGTCTGCTGGTGGCATTCAAATGGTGAAGAAGAGTGATAATTTACTTCGACTGATCAGCTTAGATTAGGATTTTGTTTTCGTGTCTTCAGGGGTTTTGAGTGAAAGACCAAACCAAGTGAAAGGAACGGTAAACCAGAATTTAGAGTTGGAACGTTCATTTTAGTGAATATGATATCGGTAATTACCACCCTGGCCAAGAATGGATCGTGATATCGATTTTCCGTGCCCGGCGCGAAAAATGCCATTGTTATTAAATGTTTCTCAATTTTTCCTTTCCAATCAATCATCGGCGCACGGCGGCTTTTGCGTTGGAATGTACCCCAGTACGTAGTTGTATCGACGCTTCTGGTGTGCGCGGCGGCGAAACCGCAGAATCAGTTCGGTGCCAGGAACTACAATCAGCAGAATGCGGCGTTCAACCGAAATCTGCAGGTTCAACCGTTGCAGCAGCCACAACATCATCAACAGCAACGGCATCATTCTCAGCAACAGCAAACCCGTCCCCAACAGCAACAGCAGCAGCAGCAGTTCAATCAGCAACATCGGCAGTCACAAGCCCTGAGAGCTACTCCACTGCCGGTGCAGCAGCAACCACAAACGCAGTTTAACCAACGATTGCAGGTTAGTTGAGAACTTTATAAATAATTGGGTGGTTTTACTTTGTTTCTTAAGTGATTGATGTGGTTTGAATATGGGAATTACATTACGATTTTCGGCTCAAATTCTGGCAAAAATAATCCCGTTAATTTGAAGTGATAAACCTTATATGCGTCAAGCAGGCTTGAACATGCTCATTACACCGAAAATGGTTTTGATGAGATATTACAATAATTTCAATAATAATTTTAATATGTAAGATGCAAGAAGAGGAGGTTAAGTTTTTGCATGACACATGAAGCCTGACAATTTCACTTTTTTTGGGTCACAATTAGCTATTGTAGCTGTAATGAGTAATCGCAATGAGTGAGTACTATTTGTTATAGCTAATCGCTAATTGTGAAACTCTGGAAGCGAAATTGACAGGTTTCGTGTGTCATACACAAACTTTACCTCCTTATTATAATATTAATTTATTAATTTATTTATTTATATAATTCAAGAATAATAGCACAAGTAATATACTAATGATTTTCAGAGTATATGCTACTATTACACTATCGATGTACCTATTAACCAAACTGAAGTAGTTGCTCCCAGAGTTTTTAAATGTTGTTAAACTTCTTGCTGTCTTGCATCCCCTCGGTAGTTCATTCCATAATCGAATCGAACGATAGCGCAACGATTCACTTAAAAAATTTGTAGAACATTTTGGAATAATTAAAACACTTGACCTAGAAGATTGTGAGTGAATAAAGAAGTTTCGAAGACATATTGGACTTTCGTTCAAAATTTTAAAAGTTTGAATACACATTCTAAGTTTCATGTAGTTGATGAAATCGTACCCGAGCAATAAATTGTAAAAGTTAGAAATGTGATCGTATTTCCGCAGCTCGTACACTGCCCATAATTGCCAGTCAGTCCCATCTGTAAAAAAAAACTGGAAATGAGGAATCGGCTTCAAAGATTTTAGAAGTTTTCATATTTGACACTTATTTTGGAGAAATTAATTTAAAAATAAACGTACAATGTGATAGAATGCATCTATGTTCACCAAAAAATATTGGAAAAATTAACGTCAATGAGAAAAATAACCGCAAGTCAGGCACAATTCCATGACGATGCTGCATTAGTTTAGCACAGCATTCAACAGTAGAAAGATACCATGGTTCCATAGAACGTTATTGAATGCTTCTGGATTTGTTCCGCTGGTTTCAGAGCAATGGCCGGAACATATTCCGGTGAGTATGGGTCTTCATCCGACCAGAGCTTTCCATAAATGTGCCAAACCCACCATGCGATAAATCAATTCACATGAGAATTCAAAAATAAGATCAATAAGAGCCATGATGAGTGACCAACACTATGTTGGCCACACCCGGACATGTTCCGGATATCCCCGGGGAAGTGGTAAAATTCATCAAGCGATACATCAAATCACATGAGAATTCAAAGCCATATTTATTGGCGGTCAAACTGAGTATCGTAAGAACTGTATTGGCCACATCCGGATATGATCCAGGTACCCTAGGGGATGTATACAAGATCTGTCTTGAGACAAATCTCATGATGCGATGTGTTGTCTCACATTTCTCACATATTTTTTTTTTTTCTAGTGGGACTGACTTGCGATTACTTTGTGCTGTGGGACAATTTGACTTGGTATTGTTTTTTTTTTAATTTTTCTTGAACAAACCACCTTTTTTCAAAAGCATATTTCAAAAAACATAGAAAGATAAACTGAATAATCACGCTAACTCAAAATTGATAAAAATGCAGATGGGACTGACTTGCAATTACCGGCAGTACACATATCTAGTAACGGCATTAAATACCAAGTTTAGTTTCTTTGTATTTGTCTTAGAAGTTAAGCTAAAGAGATTTTCCCTGTACAAAAATAACGGAACGATCAAGGATCTAGCCAGCTGAAGTCTGATATGTTGAGGCGTTGAGTGACGTAACAAAACTAGGGAGTGAAGCGTACAATACAATTTGCTGCACATAGCTTTGACTTGAGCATTTCAGTTGAGGTTGCAATCCATTACAATACCAAGATTTTTAGTTGTGTCAGAATACATAATGATATCAGCACTCACTTTAACTAATGGGATATCCCGAATAAAAGTTTCTTTTTTTTTTATCTAAAAATAATAGTTTGTGTTTTTGTCGTTTTCAAAATAAGACCATGAGTTTCACATCATTTTAAGATATTTTCTATATCACTATTTAATAATGATATAGTTTCAGAAATATTATGCAATTTGCCAGAGAAGTAAAGTTGAAAATCATCTGCATATAAGTGAAATTTACATTTTAATAAAACATTGGGCATATCATTGATGAACATAGAAAAAAGTAGGGGTCCCAAGATGGATCTTTGGGGAACCCCACTCAGAACATGCACGTAATTGGATTGCATGTTATCAAATTCAACATACTGTGATCGGCCAGCCACATATGATCTGATTAATTTCACTGAGGAATGACCAACTTTAAAACAATTAGCAAGTTTATTGCAGAGTTTCCGATGATCAATTGAATCAGAAGCTTTACTGAAATCTAAGAACACCCTCACGGTTTACATTTTCTTATCAAGAGCATTTCTTAAATCTTTTTCAATTTGTATAACAGCTGTAATTGTGCTGCAGATCTTACGATAACCAGAGTACAAAGAATAATGCAAAGACAGAGCACAAAGTATGCTAATAGGTCGATAATCCTTTTCTGTAGGTGGATTGTCAATCTTATCAAAAGGAACAATCTTAGCCACTTTCCATGGACATGGAAATTCTGAACTGCCGTTCTACGCATATCTGTCCCATGTTACTATTGGATGTTTTTCACTTTTGTTCATAAAATAGTACTTTTTAGGTAAAGTTTCGAATTGTTTTGGGCTTATTTAAAAACAACGTCAAGTCTAATTGTCTTATGTTGAAATTCTACGCATAACTGTCCCACAAAGAATTTTTATCTGAATCTTTTATTAACGAATCGATTTGAGTGCACGAATGATTGATATATAGCAACGACGTATAAACGTCTTCCAATATTGGCATGATTAAAAAAGTACGTATTATTGTCTAAAAACACATGATTAGTTGATAGCTGCTACCATATTTTGTAGTTAAAATAAGGTTCCTGTTGACTGATTCAGAATATCCGTTGTCGTATCATCCTTTCGTAAATTTAGTCGTTAGAATGTTCTCAATATACTGCCGTGGATGCATTTGGTTGAATATAATAAAATCCTTACTATATGTATGTTAACTTTTCCAAACTCTTTCTTGAAATCATCGAAGTCCACGATCGACAATCTTATTGTGTTCTACACAGAGCATTCATCATTTGTTCTCAAGATGCCCATACTTAAAGGCTTTATAGATGTACACAGCAAAAAAATAATTTTGATATCACATCAAAGTGGATGCACTACAATCATGTCGAAAATTTCATGTAATTTTTATGACCACATAAATAAACAAATGCAGTAAAAGCAGCGTAATGTCAGTTCATGCATTTTATTAATGATAATTTTGTCCTTTTTAGCAAGTAATATTACACCATATTTTCGACATGATTGTAGTGCATCCAATTTGACGTGATATCAAAATTATTTTTTAGCTGTGTAGCAAACGACGATTGCAGCAATGTCAACTCACTTATTGTTGGTTTCAGTTAATGATGCAAACCTATGCAAACTATCCACTTTCAAAACTTCGCGGAGAACTCAAGCACGCTCATGTAAACACGTAAAGACGTCAAACGCAACGTGGCCATCAAAGCAACACGGAAAGTAATAGTTCTTATGTCGTTTTCGTTTTTGCGGTATAGCTACACCGGTGCTACACTGCCGTACACCGAAATATTTTAGGGTGTGGATATACACAGAAAAAAAATCTGACTTTTAACTATCGCGTAAAATCTCCCTTCGTTTAATTTTGAGCTATACTTGGCAAAAACAGCGAAATCGTTTACAAGCTTGCATACAATATTGCTAATTTATGCGATACTGCGCTTAAATTTACACGAAATATCGCGTAAATTTATGCCAAATCTAGCGTTAATTTTATGTGCGCTATATCTCGCAGAAATTTACATGAATTTTTCGAACGGTGTAGGATGCACCTTTGTTTACAAACAAATGATGTTGAGCTGTCAAAGACTCGCGCTTATTCCTGCTTACTCTACACAAGTGCTACACCGCAAAAACGAAAACGACATTAGTGGAACTGATATGTGTAGAATTTCCTACTTCATAGCAAATTTCTCGGCATAACAGTCCAACTGAATTGTTTTCGTATAAAAATAGGCTGTAGTTTTCAAATGTTGAAATGATGCAGACCCTAGTAGCACGCTTGTCACAAATCGGTTGTGGCAACTTCTATGCAAGCAACTTATTGTGATGGAAATGTGCTACTCGGTGATCTAATGAGCAGAAATGATTCGAAACATTATTCGCAATTTGCTCATATGTTATTTTTAGAACATGGGACAGATATGCGTAGAACGGCAGTGAAGTGGTTATACAAAAATTAAATAAGTCTGTGATGTAAGGTAGAATGACACGTAAAGACAGTTTCAAAATATTTAGAAGAAGGAGATCAGTACCACAGAATCACATGAAGCAGACGCGAACTCTTCCAAAATATCATTACCAGTAATACCTTTGATTGAAAAATTAGCAGAAAGTTCATCAGTTTGCTCAGTTACAATAAACGATGATGGGGCAAAATGTGAAACAAAATAATAATTCAATGAATCAGCAGTGACATCACCACCTCCAACATTCGTATTTGAACCTTTTAACCCCAGTCGCTTAATATTATTCCAAAGTGTTTTAGCAGGAAGAAATGCACTAAGTTGGGAAGCAAAGTATTCACATTTATTGTTTTTAACCGTACGATTAGTTATGTTGCGTAGCTTAACAAAATTGTGCCATTTTTTAGCATTATTTTTATCGCGTTTCCAAGTGCATTATTTAGGTAATCCAATTTGATACAATACCAATACAATACCATAAAGGA